GGCCTCCAACCTAAGAGGGATGGCCTCCGACCTACTAGCGATGGCCTCCAACCTACTAGCGATGGCCTCCGACCTACTAGCGATGGCCTCCAACCTACTAGCGATGGCCTCCAACCTAAGAGGGATGGCCGCCAACCTACTAGCGATGGCCTCGAACCTACTAGCGATGGCCTCCAGCCTTGGTGTATGCTTGGTGGTCATTCCTCAAACAGCGGGAGTGGAATCTTTGCTCAGTGTTGTTCTCCGCTTGTTCCCGTGCGAGCAGTAGGCGCGCTCTGTGTACGAGCAGAGGAACCTGGTCCCGCACGCGCAGTCGGGAGACCTTAGGGGTGACTCACGGAGACAGAAAGGCCATGAAAGGTCTAAAGAATAAAAGAACAGACAAATGAAAGAAAGGAGCACATATAGACCTTTCATGGCCTATTCTAGAAGATGGCCTTCTCCGGATTTGTGAATTCTGTCAGAATGTAAGAATAAACATATTCTTTTTCTTTCGCATATAGAATTCACAAATCTTCTCCTGACGACTTTTTGGCTTGTTGCTCCAGGGCATCAGGGCAGACCGTCGGACTGAAGCCATTTCCGGGTTTCGGATTTCCTTTGTGGGGCTCCCGTCAAACTCACGCATTCGAAGGTATCATGATCACGTTCTTGAAGGAATCAAGATAATCAAGTGAAAACTTGGCGAAGGGATCAAATTCAAGAGCAGGCCAACGTGATGTACGAAAAGACGATTGACGTGCAGGTCGAACGTTTGTCAAAGAAACATGGCAAAAGAAAAGAACCGTCAACGTTTTTTTTTTTTTTTTTTAAGCTTTGGGAGGTCACTTTGGCCCGCAACCAGTTGTGGGCTCCCCAAATTTTCAAGAAACCCCTGAACAAACCAGCCGGTTGTCATGCTCCATACATTGCCTTGCACAGATGATCGCTCGGGGCCGGAAGCGGGGCCGGAAGCGCATCGCAAAGTGTGTACACAGATCCGACATGTTAAAGAGACACACACGTGAGGATGATCAGACTGGGAGAATCACGCAGCTCCTGAAACAAGCTCCTGAAGTACCTCGATTCCTTTTTGAGTGGACGGTGGGACTTGAGTGGTGGAGAAGATATCCCTTCGCAACTTTCAAGATGGAAACTCCCTGGTCCATCTTTTTCAAGGGAGTAGGAGGGACCAAGTTTCGGCTGGGCGAAATCCGCCAGAAACAGTGGGTGAAGGTGGTTCGAACCTGGTGAGCACAGGAAACCGCTGGAAGGACGGCAGACGGTTTCTCCATCAACCTCCTGACTCCTGACTAGTAGACACCAACCTAATTGCAATGGCCTCCTTAATGGCGATGGCCTCCACCCTACTAGCGATGGCCTCCAACCTCCTGACCTCTGATTGGAAGAATATATCCAGATGAGACACCGTGCCAAGACGTTTCTTTTGGAGAACATGCGGAGATTCTCATTTGTTGCCACTGCCTGTCTGCAGGCAAGGACTCCTTCAATCAAAAACTAGAACCAACTCTCATCGTGGAGAAAACACCCAGAGTTTCACTTTGGAACTCACCCACACATCCAGGAGCAGGCAGGATTTTGGCCACCAAGCTAGTAGGAACAAGTGCATCGCTAGTAGTAACAAGTGCCTTACTAGTAGTAACAAGTGCCACGCTTCTAGGAACAATAAGCTATTAGAAACAAGTGCATCGCTTCTAGCAACAAGTGTAGGTGCGCAAGAACGAGGTTTTGGATGGTTGTGCTGTTTCTCTTCTCTCAGGTTGGAGCTCATCGGATTGGTCGTGTGGAGTCTCAGGACTGAAGGGTCAAAACGTGGCCATCGCCACCGTTGGGAGGTTTTTACAAAAAGGTCAACGCGGAAGTCTATTCCCTAGGCTTCCAACAACCGTTGACTTACAGGTTTTTACCGAACAACCTGTGTTTCACTAAGGAATTTACATTACAACAGGTCAACCTTTCTTTTAAAGGTCTTGGAAGGCTAGGGTATTCTGTTCCTTTTCTGTGGTTGACCCAGGGTTCCGAGCTTTTGACCTAAAGCCATATCCAAAGCCGCAGCCATGCAGACCTTGTACACCTCTTTGCGCACCGAGCTGAAGTGACAGCCCAAGTCGGACGTAGCCTGGATCGCCCAATTCGGATCAACACCATTCCGGTTGCTGAACCATCTTTACGTGCTGGAAAATAACCAGAGTTACTACTGGCCCGTTTCAGGATCATGAAATCTCCAAATCTTTTCGCTTCCAACGACTTCTCCTTCACCGCCCTGCCCAGGTCATGCATGAGCAGCGGCTCGTGGATGAGGCGGAGCGACGGGCCAAGGAGGAGCCGTGCGGAGCTGCGCTGCGGACGGAAGCCGCGCGAGTTTCTGGTTGAACCGTGGTGAGCTCCGCATGGGGTGAACTGGTGGACTAGCGTTCGGACGCGACTAGGTGGAGACCATTGCTATTAGTAGGTTGCTCCTCTGCAATCTGGGGTTGACCAAATCTACCACAGAACTTTCGACCCACTGCAAGTTGTTCCACTCATAGCCAGGAGAAAGCTGCTCGGGAAGCGGCTGAGGCCGAGTGAGAGTGCTTTTCGCCTTCAGGGATGGGCACGAATGGCAAGATTCACACTGGCCTGCTGTGGGATCAAACTGTCAAGGGGTCGTGGCGTAGTGGTGTGCCGTGGTGTCATCCTCGAACCTCGAGTGTCCTGCAAGTTCAAATTGAGAGACTTCTGTAAGACACTGGTAGAACCAAAACGGAAGAACCCACAACCAATGGGGGTCTCATTTTGAAGTGCTGACCTCTTTGATCGCGCAGGGTCGACACAAAGGTTCAACCTGTCCATTGGTGCGATCGGTTACAGTGCATTGGGTGGGTGTGCATGAGGCCAAGTACTTGGTCTATGAGGATTCTTGATACGAATGGGACACAATTGACAACCACATGACCGACCCATGACCAGGATGACAATGACAACACTAGACACCAAGAGATGATCGGATCTTGACTGCCCTGCAGTGCCCAGACCATGGCGTTCAACCCTCGGGTGGTTTGGGTCACCTTTCGGGCATCCTGCAGAAATGGAGGGAGCGACACTTTCACAAACAAAGGTTAGTGTCGAGTGTGATCCAGAGCCCAAAAGGATTTTCAGTCCATTTTCCTGAAGGTGCATTGGGGAGGCCTCCCAAGCCAGTGTTTCACCTCGACTCTCGCGGAAACCACGCGGAGAAATGTGCAAAACCAAGAGGAGCCGGGGTTTGTGACTAAAGCTAAAGTCCAAAAAGGTTGCAAAATCGAAACCAGCAGGGTTCGACGCAACTTCCTAACTGACTTTGTTGATCGGATTTGCGGTCCTTGCACCCAACCCAGTGTGAAGCAGCGTGATCCCCGATGTCCCCATCCCAGCTGGGCAGATGCGGGGAAAGCCCACATGACTCACTTTGGGAAAGCTGAGGAACTGCTGTTTTTTGTTGTTGCCCCAACAGCTGCCAGAGCTCAGATTCGGTTGCGCCACAAGAAGGTCCTGTAAAGAAACGAAGTCCACTCAAGAGTTGCTGGTGGGGTCTGGGTGGTCTGCGTGGGGGTTCCTTCCTTCCGAGAATGCAGTTGTGACCCACATGAGTCGTTTTTCAGGAAGGGGGTTGTTCAACGGCGAGTTCTGGCGGATGACAGCAACGACGGTCCGATTCCGGGAACAACCCTTGGCCACTGAGAGGGTCCACACTTGTTCGGTGGACCACCCACTGATCAGGTTGAGTGGAAAGTCTCATCAGGCTCCATCCGATGGTTAATTGAGAAGGGTTGACTGTCTGGGGCCTAGCTTTAGGTGACCTGTTAGAGACAAACAAGAGGTGCTCGGTGTAGTTCGCCATGCAACAGGACGCTTCAGTCTGGTCCGAGTCAGAGTTTCCGCCCACTCGTCTTCTTGTTCGACATCTCTGGGGCTTTTTCGGGGCCGTGCGTGTGGGCCGGGGTCATGGAGACATGCAGCGGAGACATTGCACAACCTGTCCGCTACATTCGGCCCAAGTCGGGACCCGAGACGAGAACGATTCTCGGCACACGGAGGCAAGGCCCCGGGCAGTCTGGGCAGTCTGGGCGGCTCGGGTGCAGCCACGGAGCCTTGAAGAAGGGGTACTTCAACTGGATGATTCCCAAAGCATCTGCTGTCTACCAGGAGGACATGACCAGTGTGTCTAGGAGTCTCTTGTGCATTTTCACGGTGTGACCATTGAACCCCCCACCCTACGCTGGAACTCGGTGCTGGTCATGTGCTGGAGCACATGTCCATCAGTCAACAAGTATCGGCTTGTTTGCGTTCGATGCACTTGCATGCAATTCTTCATGCCTCAGAGCAGTGTTGACTGGTTAGATAGTTGGCCTTCTCTTCTCAAAAACCAGCGCACAAGAGCACTAAACCCAACCCCCACCGAGTCCTACAAGTCCTATGCACGAAGTACGCCCGGTCAGGTGCCCAGCGTCAGATGGAGATCCGGGCAGGCAGAGGGTCGAGTGGGTCGAGTCGGTGAATGTCTCACGAAGAGAACACAAGAAAAGAACAAGAACATAGTAGCTTATTGTTAATAGTAGCGATACCAGGAGCCCCTAGTAGCATCCTTTTGCTCCTAGTAGTAAGGCCAGGAGCCCCGTTCGTAGCGTCCTTGCTCCTAGTAGCTTATTGTTACTTTACTAGTATATAACTAGTAGTTAGTAAGAATGCTGCTAGTAGCGATGCCCTTTGTTTCTAGTAGCGAGGCCTTGACGAAAAAAGACAAATCCCTCATTTTTCGGGTGTCTATCTGTGTCTCCCTTAGTAAGACGATTCAGGGTGTCTCTCTTAGTAAGTCGCAGGTCCTGGTGACTTGTGGAGGGAATGGCGCGCTCCACGTCAGGTCCGCCTTTGGCATCTTGGCTCCCAAGCCCAAATGCCGTGGGCCGAGCCCACGCGGGCGTGGTGGCTCAGGGTGTTGGAAGACGTGGCTCCCAACCTGCTAGCGATGGCCTCCAACCTAATTATGATGGCCTCAAACCTGCTAGCGATGGCCTCCACCCTAATAGTGATGGCCTCCAACCT